AACTGTTGCTCAACGGAAATTTTGCAAAACCTCTAGCCAAAATTGATTTTTGCTTTCTGATTCAATGATTTTTTTGAGTATTTGAGAATCCATTTGTTTCTCTTTCTATTCACACGCCTTAGATGAAACCCTAAATTAGAAGACGATTTTAGCGGGTTTCTTATGAAATTTTTACGCTTCGTCTAATTTTCTGGATTTTGGCTAGTTAGCGCTTTTCGATTTTCAATTCCTGCCATCCTACTGCCCTTTTGTTATTATTTTTATTCGGTCACACCCTCCAGCACGGCTGCTATTTTCTCGAGGTGGTGGGGGGCCCACCTCCAATCATACGCTCTGGTGCCCATTCCAAAACGCTGGGGGGGCCACAGGATTTTCCCATTTTTCACGCGAAACAATAATTGGTGTTTGTCGCGTTTCTCAACAATTAAATTTTCCAGGATTACAGTAAGACGCTTTCATAAAATAGAACTGTTTAAATTTTGTAAAAGATCCTTGTCAAAGGTTTTTGAAGCTATTTAATACTAGTTTGGGATAGGGGTTGAAGATTTTCAGGCTTATATCTTGCTATTTCTATTTCTCGCTCTCTCTCTCGCTCGCTCTCTCTCTCTCTCTCTCTCTCTCTCTCTCTCTGTCTCTGGCTCTTTCTATCTCGATCTCTCTCGCTCTCTCTCCCTCTCTCCGACTCTCTCTCTCCATTCATCTTCAAGGTATAGCTTTTTCAGATATCTCAGGATCCGGCGTTGTGGGTCGCGAGTAGCCGAGGCACGGGACGGTCCAGGGGTCTTCCCCTCCTCGATGGCGGGGGCCACTGGGCCGTCTGCAGCGCCTTTCTATTTCTTGTCTTTTCTACAGTAAACGCGTCGAAACGTCCTCATCATCCGCATGTCGAGGTCAGCTGAACTAAAAAAATAGAGCAAAAGCTTTAAAACACGTCTTATAGCTGTTGGGAGTTTGGAGCAGCTCAGGGAGCTTTTCGAGCTCTTGAGGCTTCGCTAGCTTTGTTTTTAAGCTTTGGAAGCTTCGAAAGTTTCCTATTCTGCTGATAGCGGGAAATCAACGTCTAAGGGCCGTAAAATAAATTGAAAATGAGATTTTTTGCGGTTTTCTCACGGATTTTTGCTCGCTTCGTGGATTTGAAGAGCAAGAGGCTTCTTTAGCTTTGTTTCTTAAGCTTCAGAAGCGTCGAAAACTTTCTATTCTTTGCATAAAACGACGAAAAATGACGTTTTTAAGCATTTTTGAATTTTTATGTGCATTTTCAAAGCCAAGCTCCGCCTGCGGCTTGCACTTTTTTTCTCAGCTTAGAAGCGTCAGAAGCTTGATTCGTCTTTTTGTTGTTTAAAAGGTTCTAGAAAAGTCTTTCCTAACCAGAATCGTCTTAAAAATGTCTAAATTCCCACAGATGTCAACCAGATCTCCAACACCCATCTATCGTCAAAAAATGGCGGCGGCTCTCTCCCATATGTGTACATAGTAGTGGCCCGTAGGGGGTGGATCGGCCCCCGGGGCCCAATTTCTCCCCTTTGAATGCCCACAAAATGGGCAGCACACACCCCGGTCTTGCCCACGGGCTGACACAAACTTTTCCGGGCCCATTCTCACATTTTTCGAGGGCGCCCGGGAAGTGGGGCGTGGAGCGCATCAGTTTCCGGTGAGGGGGAGCTGCTTGGAGTCGTGGAAAGTTCGGAAAAATGAGGAAATTTGGCGAGAAAAGGATAAAACGCATGTTTCCTTCTTATCAAAAAATCCATACGCTTTTTTTTGTTTTTTTTTTCACATTTTTTGCCAGCTTCTCCAAGCTGCGAACTAGCATTATCGCTTAGCATTGCCTAAAACCGAACTGCCTAGCCACCTCCCACAATTTTCAAAGAACCCCACACCCCGCTCTATTTATGGGTGAAGCCCCAGAACGCCTCGTCCAGGGCCCCCATTTATCCCTATTTGTCGCTAGGCGCCGCCCGTAATCCGTTCCCGCGCCCTGCGCTCTGCCTACCCGGCCCACACACCATAATTCACCGGGTCATTTCCGCTAATACGCCTCGGCGGCCTGCGGCCTCAGTTGCGGCTTAGGGGTTTATTACGATTTTCTAAAGAATGAACTCCGGAGATGATTTATGGGGGGTTTGCGATGAGTATTTTAAGCCTAGAATGAAGGAGGCATCGAGAGAGAAAGAGAAAGATAAAGAGAGAGGGAGAGAGAGAGAGTGAAATAGACAGATAGAGAGGGAAATGTATCTAGACACGCTTAAATTACCATTTCAGGACCCAAACTCTCGATTCGCATGTGTGGGCTCGCTCCTCGCCGAGCAGCCGGCATGCCAATGCAAGGAGGACGAGGGTGAACTGGCCTGCATCAATGCTCAATTCATCGAGACTGGCGTGTTCGCGACGGTGAATAATCACTATAAGTAAGTTCAATACATTTTTGAGGATCTCATCATTGCGTCAAAATCCTCACAACTTGTCTTTCTTTATCCCAGAATTCTTCTATTTTAGTGCATCTATGGATACCTGGAAAAGTGCGCCATCTTCCAGTCTCTTTAGTATGAGCCATACGTCCTGGCACTCTCCCTTTAAACTACTCTCTGATGCCATCAGAATCGTATCGTCCACCTCACCCTCGCATCACCCCTCACGTGCTCCCCCAAACCCTCCTCGGGCCATCCGCCCCTAAATGAATGGCATAAAAAGTGGGGGTGTTGGTGGTTGGGGGGGGAAATTAGATTCGTGGAGTCGGGGCTTCTGCTTCGGCTTCTGCTTCTGCTTGAAGAGAAGTGAGAGGAGAAGCAGAAGGCAATTTGTTGGTCTGGGCAGGGGAACACCGCTAGGGATGGCGCGACTGACGGCGATTGCTTGCACCCAGGGGGATACTTTAGGGACGTAGGAATGTGTCTAGGGAGGACATAGGGGGATCGAGATTTCCTGGGAATTCAGGAGCTTATAGATTAAAGGGTAAGACCAAAAAGGGCTAGGACCTTAAACTTACAATAATGAAGAAGCCAACATAGTATATCATCGCATGAACAAGACTAAACCGACGTCCTTGTAGATTTTGGCTTCGGTGGCCCTTTAAAATGTCCTTCTACCTTTCAGGCACATGAAGAAGATCACGTTCCACGGCAACAACTTCCAAGACCTACCTCAGGGATCGTTGTTCGGCGACTACGTCCACTCCTCCTTGACGACATTGAACATCTCCGCCAACTACATTGTCAATTTGCATTCGGGAGCGTTGAGTGGTGAGTTAAAAAATCTTCTTCCCTGACTCGGTCTATCACTTTCTTAATATCTTGCTCTCATCTGATCCCTCTCTCTCCCTTTCTCTCTCTCTCTCTCTCTCTCTCTCTCTCTCTCTCTCTTTCTCTCTCGATCTCTTTCGGAAAGACGAAGAAGAGGAAGAGCCACTCTCGCAAACACTAAAATCTTCTAACAAAACCTAGACATTTTATCATTTTCAGGAGTCCCAAATCTTCGGGTACTCGACCTCAGCAACAATGAGATCGTGCTCAAGGAGGAGAATATAGATTTCTTGACGCACACTCCGGATTTGGAAGAGGTACTGTAGGAAAACTCGGTCGAAATTTGTTTTTTGCAGCTCTACCTCCGCCGTGCCTTCACCGCCACCCTAAATCGCACAAAGCAGTTCGACCTGATGATGCGCATGTTTAGGAGGGCGAACTTGCAGAAGTTGAAGGTGAGCGAGAGACAGAGAGAGAGAGAGAGAGAGAGGAGATTGAGAGAGACCAAAATCGATTTCCAGGTTCTCGACCTCTCCTACAACTTCCTGGAATCGATACCTCCACAGCTCCCTTGTGCCTTTCCTGCCCTCCAGAAGCTCGACCTCCGCCAGAATTTTCTAAATGACTTGGTGGTGAACGCGAGCTGCTTGAGGAATATTCACGATCTGGACTTGAGCAGGTAAGTCATAAGCCAAAGTCTAAGCCTTAGCCTAAGCCTAAGCCCAAGCCTATGTGTAAGCCTGTCTTTTAGAAACGGCTTCAACCAGCCGAACAAGACCACTCGTCAACTCCTGAGTCGCCTCCCGGACAATTCGATCAACTTCCGGAATCCGTTCTTGTGCGATTGCAAGAGTGCCGAGTATATCCAGTGGATTAAATCGACAAGATCGGTACGTTATTCGATATTTATATAAATTACGAATTACTTGTAGATTCGCGAAAAAAGCAACCTGATCTGCGACAAGGCGAGCCCGAAGAAATTCTCTGGAGTCCGTATTACCGAAGTGCCTGTGAAAGAGTGAGTTTTCATATAATTTATTTTTCTCTAACCCTCTCTCTATCGCTCTCTCTCTCTCTCTCTCTCTCTCTCTCTCTCTCTAATTTTCTCTTTTTCAGACTCGACTGCTTGACCAGCTCCGCCATCGGCTCATGGTCCTTATTTTTACCCGTTTTCCTGCTGCTTTTCCCCACTTTTTGCAGGGTATTTGCTTTCATTTTGTAATTTTTTTAAATTTCTGCATTGAATTAATCGTTACAAAACACAAAATTAATAAACTAATCAAAACCACCCCTTTCCTGAGTCTCCGTTGACCTGTGATTTGCCCCCCCCCCGCTGCGCGCAGAAGTAGAGATTGCCTCGCCAAACCGTCATCCTTGAAAAATTCTGGTCAATAAAATTTTATAAAATTACTACGCGATTACTTCGTAAAACTTAGAAATCACAGACCAAAGCTCAGTAAAATTTGAAAAGTAGACATACAAAATTAAAGTTTGCAAAAAACGAAAATCTAAGAAGAAAGACAGCAAGGCTCAAAAATGCAATACAAAATTTGAATCTGATCGATATGCAATTTTTTCTTGATTGAATGAAATGTGAGATCGGAAATAGGTCGTGCAATACTGGGACTATAAATATGTAAAAAGTGTCGAAATTGCGCCCTATAAAAAAGTTTTGCATAGCAACAAAAAATAAAATTGGAAGATGTGCAAATTGAGTCTTGTGACTTGAGGAGAAACATAGCCAGATTTGAGAAAGCATCAACTGCCAAGACAAAAAATATTCTCCGTTAGCTGACCGCCCATCTCGGACTCCTTGAAGATGACGTGACGCCCGAATTCAGGCATCATTTTGTGCGTTATGACCTGAAACAGCATTTTTTCATCTTATTCGCTATGGAAAAAGGAAGTTTCTATCTAATTAAACCTATAGAAGGATATAGTTTGTATGTGCTGACGTACCCGTATAAAATTCGGCACTTCCATATACGCCAAAAACATTTCAAATGCTTTCTTCTCGCACTGGTACTTAATTTGGAGGTGCTGAAAATAAGAGATAAAGGATCTGCTTTTCTAAATCGTGCTTACCTCAAAAAGCAGGTTACTGTAGGTTTTATACACTTTTTTACAGATCTTGGCACTTTTCTCCGAGTAGCCCATGCCTAAAACAACAACTTATTTTTCAGCAATTTTTTTCCGTTACTTAAGCTATCCCTTCTATTTCCCTGCAAAGGATATGGGTAAGCTTGGAGAGAAAGAGAGAGAGAGAGAGAGAGAGAGAGAGAGAGAGCGAGCGAGAAACGCGGGATAGAGGCAGAGAGGCAGAAATGACCAAGACCTACTGTGAGAAAACATCAATATAACCCGTAACAACACTAGCTCTTCATCTCCCATCTCCAATCGTCGCATGTAAGGATATAACGTATCGAGACCATAATTTAATAGTAGTTCGAACATTGGCTTTAATCTGAAAACGAATTTATGAGAGAGAGAGGGAGAGAGAGAGATAGTGAGAAAGATATCGATTTACTGTTTCATATGAGGCAGTTGATCTCTAGTGAGTCGTACTCCAAGTATGGTCAACATTCCATCAAAGTTATATTTATAGCTGTAGTAGTAATTTGTCAAAATGCCTTGAGGGAGGTATTGACGGCAGCAGAGTAGCGTCTAAAAATCGGCGATATGACAGACGAAAGAGATATAAGGACAGAGAGAGAGAGAGAGAGAGAGAGAGTGAAAGAGTGAGAGAGAGAGATAGAACGAGAGAGAGCGAGAGAGAGCAAGAAAGTGACAGAGAGGGAAAGATACAGAGACACTTACCCGATCGGCTTCATCCAAATCCCAGAATTCTCGTATCGAGCGGACCCAATCCAAGAAAAAAGTTAATGATCTTGCCACTCTTCTGCCACCAAGTGAAGACATACATTCAGATGGTACTTCCATTGGTGAGGCCGGGTTGATACCGTACTAAAACATATTTCAGTTATTCTTCTTATTGCCTTCTCACCCCTCTCTCTCTCGCTCTCTCTCTCTCTTTCTCTTTCTCTCTCTCACTCTCTCTCTCTCTCTCTCTCTCTCTCTTTTACCGGTAACTTGCTGCACACTCTTCTTGGATTGTTCAAAGCCTCCGCCATCGGACAATCAAAATGGAACTTGAAGTCGTAGCTTAGTCTCTGACACCCATCGTCGTTCATCAAAAATCTGGAATAATACAGTAATTATGATATAGAAAATTTCTTTGTACTTCTCCATCTTGACGAGCATCTGGGGCAGGTTCTTGGCTGCAGAAATGATTAGCGGATTTGAGTAGCTCTTCGCGTAAAGTTGGACTTCTCTCTGAAATAGAGATGCTCGTTTTTTTCATTTTTAGTACGTTAAATGACCAAGAACAATACGCAAATCAGACTTACAGAATCCGGAGCTGTACTCGGACCAGGTTGATCTTCTTCCAAATCGATTAAAATGGTATCCAAAGCTTTCCGCTTCTTCTCGTCCGTACCCAGCTTTTCACGTAAGGAGCACCCAGTACGACGCGCGGTTACTGTACTTTTGAATTTTTAGAAAACTTAGATAAACTCACTTTCCGGTATCATGCCCACCTCCAAGCATTTTTCATAGCGACAAGCTTTGCATTTGGCTTTTCCTGAATTCTAATAGAAAAAAAAGATTTATTGTTTCACCTTTGCCTCGAAAATTTTGAGAAGCACATCGCTTCTCATTTTCACAATTTAGATCGGGGTCCTGGGTGGTGACGCGCAGGAAGAAGACCTTACAGCTTCTGAAAAAGCTCAATTAAACTTCCTTTCTCGCTCTCTCTCACTCGCTCTCTCTCCCTTTCTCTCTCTCTCTCTCTCTCTCTCTCTCTCTCTCGTTCTCCCTCTTTCTCTTTTCTTCCGGGTTCAATCGCACCAAGTACAAATTTTTCGTGTAAAATTCCCAGTTGGCTTCCCGGACCATCGAACTAAATGTTTTGCCGCTCAAGTCACCTAGATTCCGAATCTTTGGCGCGTGTTTTGGGGGGATTTTTGGTGAAAGTTGGTGTGTGTGTGAGGCTGGGTACATTGAGCGTTTCCCCCAAAAATTTGGCACCACAGATCGTTCGGAGGCCCCCGGCCGGAATCCTGCCCTGGGGGTGCGACAAATCAAGGACATTGCTATTCTAGGGCCTCGAGAAAGGGGATGTGAGATCGAAAGGCTTTTCAAGGAGCCGGGAGACCGCTGTACCTGGAAAGAGCACGACGTCACGGGAAAATTGGAGCATGACACGAATCTATAGAAACTAGACAAGAATCTGGTTTTTGTACAGATAGAGCACCCGTGCGAACGCCGGCCAAATCCCGACAACAAAATGCTAGCTGTAAAAATGCCGACAACGAAGAGGGAGAGAGAGAGAGAGAGAAGAAGAAGCAAGAGTGAATGAAAGAGAGAGAAAAAGAGGTAAAGAGGAAACCAGAGTTGGAGCGAGAGAGGCGGAGAAAGAAAGAGAGGAAGAGAGATAGCGAGATAGAGAGAACGAGCGAGAGTGAGAGAAAGAAAGAGAGAGAGGGAGAGAGAGAAAGGGCGAAAAAGTGATAATTTGTAAACTCACGAGCAAGCGATGGAGCCATAACACCGAAACGCTGGTGATTTCCCGCAAACCCGGCAGTCCCTGGTGTCAGCGGAAGATAAATCTGGGAGCTCGACCAGGTCGGGCGGTTCGTCCATAGGAGCGACTGAAAGGGAAGTAAGGTTAGAAACTGCAGCGCTAAAAATCAGAGATTGTGACAAATAGCGATACAAAGAACGAGAAAGCAAGGGGGGAGCGAGAGAGAGAGAGAGAGAGTGAGAGAGAGAGAGAAAGAGAGAGAGAGAGAAAGAGAGAGTGAGAGCGAGATCGCAAGGAAGCTAGAAAATTTGTACCAAACCCAAAGGCCCACAAAAATTCGTAGTATGCCGCAATCCCGACAAGAAAAATGTGCTTTTACCTCTCAGAAAACGTGATGCAATTACGCGCTGTTATCCTACACCTGCGATTCAATGAAAAAAGCATGCTGCAGCGAAAAACCAGCACCAAAATCCACCCATTCAAAGAGAATTGGCGACCCTGAAACTCCGAGAACCCGTCTAATCCCAAAAATGGAAATGGCAACTAATCCGAGCCGCATAGAGGTGTGTAGCAGGCACCGGAAATTGGTAAAACGCTCCGATGTGCACCAAACAACGCGCCCAAAATTCCCGGGGGATTGTGTATTTTCACAGCTGCACTCAATATAAGCCCCAAGCCAAAGAACAATTAGCCTCCGATCGGCACAAACTACAAAAGCGGGACGTAGTGCGATGTAAACCATGCGCGGAGGCGGCGCTCCGGGCTCGGATAGCTGGCAATCAAATCTAGGTGTGCAAATGCACGAAGGCCAAAGGCGGCAGAGCACAGAGACTAGAAGAACAACATGGGAACACTGAGTACAAAACTTGGACCTAAAAAGGTACTAGTGTAGAAAAGGCCCCCTCCACGATGTATAAGATGATACGTATGGATTCCAGCCTTACACACTAGACAAAAAAAATCAGAATCGCCAAAATCCGGCCACTTTGAATACGCGGCCTTTTAAAAAGCTATGCATGTCGTGATTTTGATTCTCGGCACTTTGGATGTCAGGATTTCTGCGCTTTCACATAACCGAGAGCGGGAAAAACTAGTTATGACTCAACAAGGTTTAGCCATAAAAACAGATTGAGCAAAATACAAGGTTTTTTTATATTCGGTTACAACCTAATTAGCATTTTAACAAGATCGCGGAATTATCTGAGTGCCAACTTATGCGGCTTATATTTACTTACATGCGTAGGTATCGTGGATTACCTTTGTGACGTATTAAGCGGAAATTAAAGTATTCTTCAAAAAAACATACAATTTACGAATGGCGCAGTGCGGCGGGACCCGGATGAGTTGCCTAGCGTACGGGACTTGAGTCAAAGCAAACTCCGAGCATTAAGACGCAACAATGAGGGCTTGCCGCAAGATTCTGGAGTAAGGGATGTAGAGGAGTGTCGCGTAGCATATAAATAACGCTTACTTATCATTACTACGACCACTACCATCCCTACTACCATTATGGGATTTCTCCAAGGGGAGGTTTAGAGAAGCCTGTCTGAGCTCATTAACCTTATCCTAATGACCGTAAGAAAACGAAGTATGTTACAATACGGCGCTGGCTAAAGGACAATACGCGTTTCCAAACATGAAGTGAATACTTTAATAAGGATCGATAGAAGCAAAGTGCTCACAGAATTCTGATGCGTAGCGTTCAAATATTTGCTAAGATCGGGCTCCAGAATGTCGAGTAAAACGAGCCCAAAATACAGTGCAAAAATCCCAAAGCCAAAGAACAAAAAGAAACCGACTGGTTCCTCAAAATTGCCGAAATTCTCAAGGCTACACACCTGACAAGCGAACAAAACTCGAGCCAATTCCTTGGAAAATGGAATATTACCCATTATCTCCGTGGGAAGTACGGCGTACCCTCATGGTCTTGATCTTGAGAGTTATAAACACTTTTAAGTTAGAAAAGCTGCCCCTTCTGTTAGATCTTCGTATGTATAGTCAAGCTTTGAGTACGTAGTACGCCAAATGACGATGGAGTACGGGTGAATTCGGGGTAAAGCTGTGGGGAAACCCCTCGGGACCCGCCTGGCGGCCGGAAAATCAGAGGCAAAAATAGCTAATTGCCTAGAGATCAGCGCCAGAATGGATCGGGTTTGGGAGAGGATTCTGGAAAAATAGGAGTAAAGAGTATGGGTTTGGAAATCAGAGAACATTTTTTAATACTTGGAATCCAGAAAATATAGGCATTCATGACTCAAAGCAACAAACTTCTGGGAATTCTGGCATAGTGTTCTGTGCACAATTTTTGGCGAATTTTGCATGAATTCTGTGAACTAGAACACGCGGATATTTGCCGCCTTAATTCTGGGAAAAGTACAGAGCACGAAATCATGTGTGCATTTTCGCAGAAAAGTCTGTCTGATCCCACGGGGAATTTGTAACCACCCAGAAAACTCAATCAGCCGATACGTTTGAGATTCCAGGAAAGAAATCTAAAATTTAATTAGCATAAGAAATGGAAAAACTTCAATTCGCATAAAACAGGTGATTTTTGAGAAAAAAAGCAAGTACAAGCAGCTGCAAATGTATTCATGTTGAAAACACGAAAATAAAAAATTGCTTCGATGTCACCATCGAGAAGTTCATTGCAAAAAGAAAATTTGCAATCTTTTTAAATTTTATGGTCATTTTTTGCATAATTCAATTAATGCACATTTTGTTTTAAATCGCGTTTAAAGACCTACCACTAGGTAAAGAACTTGTTTAGTTAATTCAATTAATTTCTTGTAATTAAGTTATAGAAATCATACGATGACTAATTTGCATGACAAAGATCAGGCAACCCTCCATTTGCCGATACACTCGTGAACAAGCCCCCAGAATCCCGATTTGACATTCATTTACACAGCCGACTAGACGCTATTTGACACGAGCTTTGGTGCTGAACATTGAGGCGCAAAATCCTCAAATGCCACCAGTCAATGGCCAGGAAAATTCCTTGTTCATGCTAAATTTAGAATATTTTTGCGCGAGGCGTTGACGTAAATAGAAGGTGCGCATGAATGAAGCCTAGATTAACGCCAAAACCAGTCGATTTTTCCTTGTTTTTAGAACGCGAATACAGAATTTTTAGCCCATTTTTTCTGGGATTGATTTATAAGTTTTTAAGTAAAAGGCAAAAAATTAGCAGTTTGCAAAATAGTGACGTACGCTCGGAACTACCAGAATCGATACAAAACACACCCGAAAAGCGCGTACGTGTGCGTTGCCGGGACTTGGAAAGAAGGTCCGACCAGAGCACAGTGTCGGTCTCGATACGCCGCTGCGCCCAATTGGGGGTTAAGGGCCGAGAAATAGCGTGTAAATAGCGGAGAACCCCGGAAACTGGTCGACTGGACTTTGGAGGCAAAGGTGAGGCGGCGATGAGGGAGATACCAGCGAGTTAGCGAGAGAGAGAGAGAGGGAGATCAGGAAGCGAGAGAGAGAGAGAGAGAGAGAGCGCGAGAGAGAGAGAGCGCGCGAAAGAGATATAGAGCTACCGCTGAAAAGTATCTAAACACAGCCATTACGATGATTAGCGTGTGTGTCGCTGGAAAAATAGAGTGGAAAAACTGGAATTGGGTGAGAGAGAGGCAGAAAAGCAGAAGAATAGTGCAACGAACAAAATAAGACCACTCCGTAGTCGTGCTGATTTCAACAATTTTTTAAAACGGCAGAATTCGAAAAATTGGTCCTAACACTTCCGGAATCTCGGAAACCTGCTCCGGCAGTGTGAAGAAAAGCGGCAAAATATGGATAAAAATCAATTTTAAATTTAAAATAAGCCGTCGTTAAAGGGATGATGACATGTGATAATTAATGTGAAAAGGATAGAACCTTTTTTGGTATTCAGGAAATGTACCAAGTGCGGTACACTACAGTCTACAAACAATTTTAGGGTTGATAAGACTAACTTAACGTGACCCGGTGTCTTAAAGATACATTGACGTTCAAGGAATAGAGAAGAGGCTTGTTGGAATCAGAAAAATAGCTTGAAAATCACCAGAATATCCATTTTGCGTTTCTTAATGGATCTCCGCTTTTTCGCAGAATTGAGAAGATATTCGATTCGTCATTCATTAGTTTTGTCTGCTTTTTAATGTTATACCATGGTATTTTTCAAAGTTAAAACTCTTTATACAAATAAATAAGTCAAACAAGATCACAGGGCTTTGTAGTGAAACGTCAGGGCAACGTGGTGCCTACATATCTTGGGTCCAACGGGAACTCCTCCATTTTCTTGGGGAAAATTGAATAATTGTTTGGAGTTGAGGTACGGAATGTACAGACGTGGGACTTGGCAATTTGCCAAGCTCAAAAAGCATGCGATTTAGAGGTAGAGAGAGCACTCGGCCTCGGAGGTCAGGTCTTCGGGCATCTGGACGTCCAAGAAGACACGGAACTCCTTCTCCTTCTGCGATTCTTCGACGATTGGCTCGGGGGTGGTGCTGATGACCTGCAAGGAAAATATTATAATCAGGATTTGGGATGCTTAATTTCCTTAATAATCCCTGTTATCTAGCTATAAACCCTATACAGGCATAGTAGCAAAGATTCTCGTGGATTCAGGTTCTGGAACCTTTCAGCAATAAATTTTTTAAGACTTACAGCAGCCTCAGTGGTGGTGGACGGCTTCTGGGTGGAGGCGAGTGCCATCATTTTCTTGCTCGGATGCCAGCCGCAGAGAGTCTTCAGCTCCTCACGCACCTCCTTGGGCAGGTTGCCAAGGAAGTTGCGCTCCTGAAATCAGTAATATTGCACTAATGTGTCCCTACGGTACGCTACACTACACTACGCGACATTACGTTACGCAAAACTGCGCTACGCAATACTCCGCTACGCGACACTACGCAAAACACTGCCCTAATGCACGCCGCTGCCCATCGGAGTCGAGCAATTACGATAGAGCGAAGGCTGAAAATACCACATCCCAAAGTACGTTACGCTCCGCTAGGCACCGTGATCACAATGTGATGGTAAAGC